GCACAGCAAGTAATTGCAAAGATCATGGCCTGGATAAGGCACACCTTAGTCTCTAGACTGACATCTTTGCTTCTAAGTATGCCAGAGAGATCCCTGACAGATAAATCCCTGATTTATCTAATGAAATTTGTCTTGATTCCTGACTGCTGGTGCCAAGAGCATTGATTGTGGAGCTGAGCAAGCTATAACTATTAACAATCTCAAAAATAAATATGCAACTTTCTTTACAATCTTGGTAGAGTGACTAAGAACTGCTTTTCTCAGATTTGTTACTTTTATTGTGAAAATATCAATTGTGCAGCAAGAAAACACTGAGGAAATTTAGGATCTATATGCTCCTTGGAGTCAAGGACTCTGAAGCTTTGTCTGACATACTCTGGGCATGTTGCAAGGAGGGACTGGTCCTTGGAGAGGGACATCATGTTTGGGAGAGTGGAGGGACGACACAAGAGAGGGAGGCCCTCAATGAGATGGATCAATTCTGCGAGTGGGGTGGTGGGAGTGAGTGTGTCAGAGATGGAGAGGTTGGCACAGGATAGAGCAGCCTTTAGGGCTCTTGTACATAGGGTTGTTTGAGTCGCAAGTGACTCGGTGGCACATACAACATGCTTATTAATAAATAACGTCCAGAGACTGATGAGAAGAAACTTTGTGATTATGCCACAACAAAGTACCTGGAATAAAAGTTCATGTTTCTGTTTATTCTTCATATTTGTTCACTTGTCAACTTTGATTAATTAAGACAAGTGTATTATGCAAGTTCACAGAAGTAATGTAAGGCATGGCTCTTCCTTTTCATGACTGACTGATTTGTTTATAAAAATTAAAAATATGCATGTGGAATGGATAATTAACAATACACTGACATGTGATGACAGACTTTTGATCATCAGAATGAAGTCTATAAAAAAAAGAATATATGAGAGTAGGAACCTACCTTGACTTTCCTCTTTTCCTCATCTTTCACTTTGAATCTCCAAGCTCTACCACTTTTAACCAAGAAGTGTATCTAGAGTCAATTCATTGTCTTCTGTTCCTGCTGTCACCACTTTGGCTCATCATGTCTGTAAGGAAACACTGCATGGTTCATCTCTGTATCTTTTTTAAATACAATTTTCTTTTAATTGTGATTTTAATGAACATTTACAGAGAAGTTAGATTTTCATTCATTCATTGTAGCACATTTTACCCCGTCTTCCTCCACAGTTAACTTTTTTTTTTAAAAAAAGAATTCATTGTTACACCATTACCTACTTCCCCTTCTCCCTTCATACCTTTTCAATCTATATAAAGATAGATCATTTGAAAGTCTGGACTTTATGAGGAAGAATGTGGCATCAGGATTGGAGGAAGACTCATTAACAACTTTCCTTATCCAGATGGCACAACGTTGATTGCTGAAACTACGGAAGACCTGAGGAATTTGCTGCAGAAAGTCAAGAACTGCAGTCTTTAATATGGATTGAAGATCAACATCAAGAAAACAAACATTCTCACTCCTGGACTTCATCTTGATAGATGGAGATGGAGAAGAGATTGAGATTGTTAATAATTACAGCTTGCTTGGTTCCACAATAATCACTCTTGGCATCAGAAGTCAGGAAATCAAAAGAAAAATTACATTAGGTAAATCTGCTGTCAGGGACCTCTCTATAGCACTGAAGAGGAACGATATCAGTGTGGAGACTAAGGTGCACCTGATCCAGGCCATGGCCATCACAATAACTTGCCAATCATCTGAGAGCTGGACAATGACCAAGGATGAAAGAAGAAGAATTGATGACTTTGACTTGTGGTGCTGGAGAAGAGTGTTAAACATACAGTGGACTACCACAGAACTAACAGAACTGTCTTGGAGAGGGTGAAACCAAACTGCTCCTTAGAGGCAAGGATTTTAAACTCCATCTCACATACTTTGGGCATGTGTCTAGGAGGGACCAGTCCTTGGAGAAGGATATAATGCTTGAAAGAATGGAGGGACAGTGCAGGTGAGGAAGGCCCTGGATGAGATGGATTGACTCAATGACTAGGGTAATGGGATTAGAGGTGTGGAAGAAGCTGAGATTGGCTCAAGATAGGGCAGGATTCAGAACTATTGTACATAGGGTAGCTATGAGTCTCAGGTGACTCGGTGGAACATAATAACAACAACAACAGCAACCTGTCTTTTTGCCTCTATTTTTGTTTTACTCAGTTGATTCTCTACACTGTAGCCAGGCTAACCTATGACTACAGAAGTTATTATTTTGGCCACGTCTTTAATTGCCAAAAAGATAAAACCCATACTCTAAGTCACCGCTGATGTTTCCCATTTTTGGGCCATTGTGTCTACCATAACTTCTTCCCACTTTCTTCCTTGCATTTTATAGTATAACCATACTCTCTTTACTGTTCTTTGACTATGACTTACTCAAGATCTTTCCAAATTTGACGGTACTTCCATAGAGAGGGGCTTTCTGATATCTAGAGTACAGTACAATACTCAGCTATTATTTTATCTTTTAAAAAACTCTTCTGTCATATAAAAGGAATCCCTTATAGTACAGTGACTAAAGCATTTGGCTGCTACCCAAAAGGTCAGTAGTTCAAACACACCACCTGTTCCAAGGGAGAAATCTGATGCACTTAGCTTTTGTAAACATTTACTGACTTCAAGACATGCATAATTTTTCCGTGTCTCACACGGTCATTATGAGTAGGAATCAACCCATGGCAGTGTGTTTAATCATCACAAAACACACAACTTTAATTTCTCTGCTTTCTATGATGGCAGGTTTTGTGTTGTTTCTCACAGAATTCTTAGCACCTGTGTAGAACCTGGTGATGTAGTACAGAAAGATCAGGGTTCAAGTCCACTAGGTGCTCTGCAGGAGAAACATAAAACAATTGTATTCCATTAAGATTTAGGACCTTGGAAATCTGATAGAGGGTTGCCATAAATTGCAATTGATTTTATAGCAGTGGATTTTGTTTTGTTAGCATATAATGTATGACAAATAAGTGTAAATTCGCTGCTATCGAGTAATTTTGACTCTTAGTGAGTCCATAGGGCAGAGTGGAACTGCTCTTTAGAGTTTCCAAGTCTGAAAATCTTTATAGGAGCACAATGCCACGTCTTTCTCTCTTGGAGCAGCTGGTAATATGTAACCACTGATCTTTCAGTTACCAGGCAAGCGCTTAATCACCGTGCTACCAAGGCTCCTTATCTGGCACATTGTGTTGTACTCTGTCGAGTCACAACCAACTCCAAAGAGTTTTTAGAGGCAGTAAATTGCAGGCCCGAAGATTGTCCTTCCTGCTCTCGTGGAGCAGCTGGTGGGTTTAAAGCACGTGGTTTTGGAATTGCAGCCCAGCTTCTTACCACAAGCTGCGAGACCACCAAGAGGTGCTTTCATTTTCTATACAAAAGTATGGGTGAATATAGAGAAAGGAACAGGTAGAACTTAAGAAGGCCCTGTTGAGAACATGGACTTTAAAGAATGAGCACCAATTTTGAGTACAATTAAAAGGGAAATACTTCATAGATAAACAATTTTTGTTTACTTTTTATTTTTTTATCCAAGTATGTGACATTATATGGAAATTGGAGAATCAGAGTTAGTAATTTCTCTAAAGAAATGGTGTATATTAGGTTATTAAAAATTCCAATTTCTTAATGCCTATTTTGACTTGTTTCCAAATTCCATTATGCTCATCAAATTTTGTGAGTAGGAGAAGGGAAATTGTACTGATTTATTATTAGTCTTCTTTTACCTGCAGTATTTTCTGTGCTGCACTTTAGCTATCATTAAATCTCAATTAGTTTACTTCACAGGTATATAAATAAAGTGTTAATGCCATCATTAATTCAGGATGAACGTAAAGTGATAGTTGTTTTAAGGCTTAAGACATTACCCTAAATACAATATATTTCCTGCCCTAATTTTAGTGAGTTAAATTTTGCTTCCTGTCCCAATTTTGCATTGAGTTAAATTGACAAAAATTCAGTCACTTTTTGGTGTAATTTCTAAAATAAGGCATTTTGTCACATGAAAGACCTAAAGGATCTCCAATTATAACTTTAGAGGATACTGGTCCTTAATTATCAGATTATGAATTAATATTTCCCCATTGTGTTGGTTGAAAAGAAAGCATTATAACTTTGATGAGCATAAATCAAAGACACAATGAAAATTCACAATAAAACTGTTAGTTACTTTCATAAATTATTCTTGGATTTAACCAGCTAGCATTTTAACTTAATAGTATGCATTGTCTTTTGCATTTTAAGTTCTTTAAATAAAACATTAGGTAACAACATAAAAGGCATCTTAGTTTTGGACCAAGTGAAAATAAAAAAGTAAATATGTGACTTAACAAAATCTTTATCTGTATCTTATAGACAATTTTCAAACATTGTTAAAAACAAAAAATTCTCTTTTAGGGACTTAAAAGTTAATGAGTTGGATAAGTAATGAGGCACACAGTTTGGAGGAAAGATTTTTTTAAAAATGAGAATACTATTCTACTTGTTAATTCATTGTACTAAAGCTTGGTCATGTATAGAGAAAACTGCCCAATAATTAAGAATTGACCTTTGAACATGGATTTAAAAGTAGACACATCATCTATTTAGTGAAGTAGAATACTGCTTACTTTTAAGGACGCTCCTTCTTCACCCAGACCAACCTCTTTTTGGCAAGTGGAATCTTTATAGTAGCAGAAGTGGGAAGCCTGAAGGATGTGGCTTACTTTCAGGATGATGCAGAATTGCTCTAAGCAGTAAGCTTACTGTTTTCAGACAGCATTAGCAGCATCAGCAAATACAACTGTGTCAGTTCCCTTAATATGTGGCGTTTGTAACTGCACAGGGGAAATGATAAACAGTATATGAGATTTGATGTTTTGATGATGACTTAAACAAATACTGATGGAGAGATTTGCTGTTTGATGTTTTCTTCACTAGTCCTGAAGATGCTGAGAGATAGAGATGGCTGTGATTATCTTTTGTAAAACAGGAAATGCAATCTTTTGGGGTTTCTGGAAATAGAGAGGTCATGCAGTCTGGAACCTGTGAGCCTTTTCAATCTCTAAGTCACCAGGTATGACTTCATAATTATGAAGCTATTTTTGGAATTATGTTTTTCCTAGTTATTAGACATTTAGAATATATTAATTGATGCAATTGTTTATCATCAAATTTTCTTCAGGATATCTTGACAAGTAATACTTATAGAGACAGGCATTAACTAAATAAAATAAATTTTAGAAATGTATGCATGTATGTGTGTTTAGCTTTTTTGAGATGTAACAACTCAGGGAATAGTGTGTTTATGATTAAAAGCAAGGTTTGAGATGATAGAGCATTTTTGCAGATTAATTCCTATTAATTCAAACTTTATATTTTATTTAGAATTATAAAAATAGAATACATTGGTCAGAGAGAAGGCTAGTTATAAAGAGCTGCTTACAGATAATTACATATTGTAATTTTTGGAATCTGCAATTTATTTTACGTTGATATAGATATTAATTCCTTTGCAACATTCAGTAGCATAAAAGTTTTGTAAGTAGAATCATGTTGATCAGCTTCTAGTATATAAGCTTATTTTCTGAAATTTGGATTGCAGTGTCTGAGTTGTTTTAAAAAGTACTAGTTTTAATATTTTTCTCAGATATATTGAAATACTGACGCTCTTGTTGCTTTTAGTACAGAGATCTACTCAGGCTAAGGAATTGCTTATAAAGGAAAACAGAATATAAATCTGTTTTGCACAAAGAAAGTGTGTGACATTTAAGCTTGTTTAAGATTTTTTTGACCTAGAGAAAAGGATTTGCCTACTTTAATTTTCAAGATCAGAAGATTTGACTAAATTAAACATGTAAACTGCAGGGTTTTCACAGCAAGGGAATTGAATGCATTTTATCTTTTTCTTCTGAAATGCTGTCATTTAGTCTAACCTGTTTTTTTACCTGTCGAGTTACAATGCTTTAGTTTGCTGTAACATATCATTAGAATTACATACTTGGATAAGAAACTCTTTGTTTGACCTTCAGATTTTCAAGAAAATACATTTTTTATATTATACATATGTCTACTTCAATTTTAGAGAACTTGTCAGATCCTTGGCCAGACAGCCTTTATTAAATGAGCAAAAAGAGATTAAATGTTTCCAAATTTCTCAATAGATAGTTTTGTCTTCATGATGATGTAGCATGATTAGAATTTAATGTCTCATCAGGGTGAAATGATATGCTATTAAAAATGAATATACTTAACAAAATAATAAAGTAAAAATATGCAGCAATGAATTGATTCAGTTAAGGGGTCAGTTCTCCTTTTTTAATTAAAAACACATTGAAAGAATTCTGCCTACTGATGTTAGCTATAATTTATATGTTATCCAGGCTGCTTAGCCAGCTTATATTCTTATTAGCAGGGAAGAGTGCCATATACTTAAGCTTGATTAGTTTTGGAATAATTTGAATATACCTTTCAGTTGTACAAAACCTGCTTAATCTGTTAGAATTTATTTCCAGTATTTGCATGTATTAGTCACCATGAGTACATTCTGTTTCTTGGCATCCTTTTGGGATTCCTCTAGGTATTGGTTTCCCAGCATTTTGTTATTTTTTCACTGTATTTATGACCTTTTCAAAAGAAAGAAAGGGGAAGAAAAGCACAACAAAACCCAACCCTAAACTGTAGAGGGTTTGTATTTCTCTTTCTTTTTAGTGGTAATTAAATGATACCTTAATCATTTTTATAAAGGGACAGAAATTACTGTCTTAGAATTGTCAGCTCTTGGAGAGGGATCTCTCTTTGTGCCTTGTCAAAATCCATTTCATTAAAGTGTAAAAACTGGTTTCAGTGCAGTGGACATTTAGAAGTAATGTCAACATTTCTTTCTTGTGCTGCAAGGTGGTCGTGACCTTTTTTGGTCTTGAAACTGATTGGAAACCTTCCAGTAATAGATGGTATTATGATTATGATTATTATTTTTTTACAATGGTTGTCTCTTTCTGTACTGTTTAGTACTTGCATTTCATTAGATGTCATAAACCCACAGCTGTGGAATTGGAATAAATTCCTACATATAGTGAACCTAAGTACATTGGAAAGCTTCCTAAATATAAGCTGCTTATAAGAAACTATTTGAGTAATTCATCCACTTAAAAAGCATCATGGTGATCGTTTGCACTATACTGTTTGCTGTTTTAAGGATCATAGAAAATAATTTTCTTACAACACATTAGATTATTTTAGAATGCCTAAATTGTTGTGCCAGAGTAGTATGAATTATGAATCAATAAAATCAATAAAATAGCTTTGTATATTTTGTATATTTTATATGTCATAGCCCAGTGTCAGGAAGCACGAGCAAAACTCAACTCAAAATTAGGATGCAGCCAATCTAGTCTAATTCCAGACTTCAACTTGTTACCTTCAATCTAGTCAATTTCCACTCTTGGTGACCTGAACAATAAGTTTCAGAGTATGGAATTTTTTTTTTAAGTTTAAAAAAATTTTTATTATTAATTGTAATGAAAGTTTACAGAGACTTTGGATTTCCATTCATTCATTGTTGCACTTTTCTCCCTGCCCCCGCTCCAGTTCCCTCCTCTTTGAAAAGTAAAATAAAAATTCTTTAATTATTATACAATCCCTCCCCCCACATCCACTCCACTATGGAACCTTCACTCTAGACTTCTGTCATGACAATAATACCTAATCATATATCCCTTTTAAACAATTATCTCCCTAATCTGTTCCAATGCAGTATACATTATTTATCCCGTCTTTCTCAGTCTCCTCCTAACCCCGATGTCAGTCCCATTTTACAACAGTGGCACTATGCAGTATTTGTCCTTTTGTGACTGAGATATTTCACTCAGCATAATATCCTCCAGAGTGACCCATTTTGTATTATATTTCATGAGTTCCTTGTCTTTCAATGCAGTTTTGATCTTAGAAAGATTACATTTTAGAAATAAAAAGTACAGGGGTGAGATTGTTCATTATTAACTAGGAAATTAAGGAGAACCCTTTGAATAAAATGAAGGAAATGGGATTCACTTTAGACTTTGACAAAAGGGAGATGGGAGGAGTTATGGAAGTAGCCTTAACTATCTGGTAGCTGGAGAGCTGGACACTGTTGTCTCCTTTCACAAGCAGATTGAAAATCACTGGCGGTGGGATGGGCTTGGGAGATGGGTAGAACAGATGGAAAGCCTTGTTGAATCTCAAACTGGAGAATGCAGCTCAATAGTACCTCCAAAGTACCTATTATATCCCTATTTTTGAAAGGTGCCCTCAAATTGCTTCTGACCCATAGATACCCTGTTCACAGCAGAGTTAGAGCAATAGTATGGTGTCAGAAGCCCTGAAAATAGACTTTGATATCTATTGTCATATAGTTCACTAAGGAACATGGTCTCCAGCTACCTTAACTGTGGACATATAATTTTGCAAATTATCAATGGCTATGGGACCAATATAAGAGAGAGTACTTTCCACACTGTGGGAGGAACTGTGAAGACACTAGAGAGAGGGTGAAGAGATTGTGACACTGCTGTGAAGTAAATGTGGCAATGTATAAACAGGGGAACCTTGGAGATGGAACCACAGTTAAAGGTTTTGCTTGCCAGATGATTGAATGACAAGCTTACTTGTAACTGATCTGAGATAAAATGTGCTGGACCATTGAGGAAATCAGAGGTTCGTTTGTGCTGCTGAACTGAACCTAGACTTTCCAATTGTTGACTGAGAAGCTGTTTCAACTAACTGAGGAATTTATCCTTGTTATTCTGGCTTGAGACTACTGGACTAAACCTGGATTAGCATTGTGTGATATTTTTTGCCTCTCTCCACCTATCCAACATATTTCCTGAATAAACCCCACATTGCTTATACTCATTTTACAAATAACAAGTTGATGAGCAATTTATTTTGGCTTGTAATAGCAAACTAAATTAAGAACTTTTAGTGTGTTCATTAAACATATGGACTTGCGTTCTATTGACTGGGTTCAAATTTTAATTATACCACTATCTAGCTATATGACCTGGGGCAAGTTTCTTAATTTTTCTGGGTTTTAGTTTCCTCATTAACATAGGGATAACCATGGTATATTAGAATTGTGAAAATTAAGTAGATAAATGTATATGAAACATACGTAAGAGTGCCTAGAATATTGCAAACACTATATTCACTGACTAATTAAACGAAACCTACTTTATGGAGTCAACTTGATCTTTATGGAAACTGACTGCCTAATTCTCTTCAGAGCTGCTGATGGATTTGAGCCTCTCATTTTCCCATTAGTAGCCCAGTAGGTAATATACCATGCAACTAGGGGTTCTAATGAAAACATTTTGTGTTGAAAGCTTTTTGCATCTGTTTCCTTGGTTGTTTTAAGCTTTTACTTGTATTCTATGTATGTAGGTCCTTTACTTCATATATTATCCACACAACTTCATTTCATGACAGAAAGATCATTAGAAATTTAGACAAGTTGAATAGCAGTATCAAATATTTCTTGCTATGCCTTAAGAAAGATCAAAGATGTTCAGGAGGAAAAAATATTTCATTGTGAGTTAAATACAACTTTGAATATATTATGGACTGCCAGGAGAATAAACAGGTTTGTTTTAAAGAGGGTGAAGCCAGCCTGTTCCTTGGAGGCAAGGATTCTGAGGCTTTGTCTGACATACTTTGGGCATGTTGTAAGAAGAGACTGGTCCTTGGAGAGGGACTTCATGCTTGGAAGGGTGAAGAGATGGAGAAAGAGAGAGAGGCCATTGATGAGATGGATTGATACACTGACGGGGGTAATGAGGGCAGTTGTGTCAGAGACAGTAAAGTTGGCACAGGATAGAGCAGGTTTCAGGGCTGTTATGTGACTCAATGGCGCATAACAACAACAACAACATTTTACCAACTACATTTATTAATGATTATTTTTATCCTAGATGAAAGACTAAAATAACTTGTGAATACAATACCATATGTATACACATATATAAAATAATTAAAATTCTTATTTGATAGAATACATTAATTTTAATCTCTGGTGATTATAGCTTTAAAAGCCTTTTATCT